AGGTCATTTATAAGGTAAGACCCATAACTCATAGTTTTGCGTTTTGTATGAACAAACAATGCGGGCATGAAACATATTTTGCTGTAGCCAAACAAATTGTCCAGTTGATTTATATGATTTATATGTTCATCTGATTGGGCTGAAGTCAGTGCTTCATCAGCCTCACCGCTCGTCACCGGTGTTTCCACATTCACAGTGGTGGGTGTTGGTGTTTAGTGCTTACAGCACAGAGAGAGATGAAGAGTGAACAGGACTTCAGCAGAAAAACAGACTTTTCTAGATGGATTTCAAACTATTTCACTATTTCAGACTCACTGAGGTTAAAGGTAAAAATGCGCACGTCGGGTGCACATTATGTTCCAGAACAAAACGAAAAAGTAACGCAATAGTTACTTTTACTGGTAACTAGTTACTAGAAGTCCTTATTGGTAAGATGGCGCCGCTGTGTATGGTTCGCCGTCTGCCCCTACCACATTTGGTGATTTTTCTGCTCTTTATAGGGCTTATTATTGAAAATGTGACGTCGCTGTTGATTTATGATCGCCTGACACTTTTAAAGATCCGGGATTCTGTAAACTATGTGCCCGTTCAAGCCTTTGATGGACATTTTAAGACATCACCACCTGTCCTCGAGTCTGTCCCACTCTTTCTGCTGCGTCATGTGAGCGGGTTGCCTCGCAACAAGAGGCGCAGAAGACGAGGAAAGAGAGGCGGAATCTCTGTCAGGTTCAAGGCATACCTTGCGTCCTCCGGTGTGGATAATCGCAATTGGACAGCAGATTCCGGTTTTGACCTCCGGCGTCCCCTCCAGCTCTGCTATCGGTGGCTATGTCCAGCTAGCCCTGATGCTGGGCACCCCCTTCCGCGTTGCCGCCCCGTCAGGATCCAGAGTCGGCGGTGCTCACAGGGGAATCTCCGCCCGCTGGTCCGCGCTGTCTCGGAGCCTGTCAGCTGTGGATCTCTCTGTCTCTCTGCAGCACTGTTCAACGCCCGTTCAGTCTCAAACAAGACTTTCATCATAAACGACTTCATTTCTACGCACGATCTGGATTTTTGCTTTCTGACGGAAACCTGGCAAAAATCTGGTGATAACAGCGCCTTCACTGAGCTCCTCCCACCTGGATATTCATACCTCAGTACACCGCGGCTCTCAGGCCGTGGTGGTGGCCTGGCTACTGTGTATAAGCATACATACACCTGTCGCTTTCTGCCCACCAAAGCCTACAGTAGTTTTGAACTGCAGCTCTTTTTATTTGAGTCAGTCACCCCTGTTTTGTGTGCCATTGTTTACCGCCCACCTAAGCACAATAAGAATTTTATAACTGAGTTTTCAGAATTTCTGGCCGAGTTTGTCCCATCATATGACAACATCATAATTTGTGGGGATTTTAACATTCATGTGTGCTGTCCATCAGATGCTTTAGCATCTGAGTTCCTCTGCCTGTTGGACACTGTTGACTTGTCACAATCAGTGCATGAACCCACACATAATCTTGGCCACACACTGGACCTTATTATCTCACATGATCTACCTGTAATACTACAGGAAATATCTCAGACATGCATCTCAGATCATTTCCCAATTCTTTTTAAGTTCTCTGTACCCCGTTCTGCATCCGACCCTCTCACTACACCCTCCTGTCGCCGCATCATTTCCTCCTCCACCCCTGCTCAGTTTGCCACTGCCTTTAGGACCACTGCTCTGTACACAGGGACAGTTGTGGCTCCCCATGTCTGTCCAGATGATGCAGTTTCCTCCCTCCACTCTACCTGCACTGACATTCTGGACAGTATTGCACCATTTAGGTGCAAATCTACTAAAATTAAACCAGACCCGTGGCTCAATGAAACCACCCGAGCCCTGAGGCAGCAATGCAGACAGGCTGAGCGCAGGTATAGGAAGGACAAGCTTCAGGTGTCTGTGGAGATCCTGAGGGAGAGCCTAGCCAGCTACCAAAAGGCAGTCAGGGAGGCTAAATGCCAATATCTATCAAATATTATAATAATAATAATAATAATGCATCAAACTTATATAGCGCTTTTTTGGACACTCAAAGACGCTTTACAAAACACGTAGAAATAAACATTGAAAAACAAAATTAAGGAAAGGCAAGATGAAACAGGTGGGTTTTTAGGAGAGATTTAAAGTTCTGTAGTGAGTCTGAGTTTCTGACGGGTTGAGGGAGTGAGTTCCAGAGAGTGGGGGCAGCTGCAGCGAAGGCTCGGTCCCCCAAGGTTCGGTGTTTAGTCCTGAGGGGAGTGAGGAGGTTGGAGTCTGTGGATCTGAGGCGGCGGGAGGGACAGTGATGATGGAGGAGGTCAGTGAGGTAAGAGGGGGCCAGGTTATGGAGGGACTTGTAGGTGAGGAGGAGGACCTTGTATTGGATGCGGTATGGGACAGGGAGCCAGTGGAGTTGTTTGAGGACAGGGGTGATGTGATCTCTGGAGCGGGTGTGGGTGAGAAGGCGGGCGGCGGAGTTCTGAATGTATTGTAGTTTTTGAAGATGAGTGGAAGGGAGACCGAAGAGGAGGCTATTGCAGTAGTCAAGTCTAGAGGTGATGAAGGCATGAACCAGTATAGCAGAGGATTGAGAGAGAGAGGGGAGGAGGCGAGCGATGTTACGGAGGTGGAAAAATGATGTTTTGGAGATTAGGTTAATGTGGGGTCTAAAGGAGAGGGTGGAGTCCATAATAACGCCGAGGTTGCGTACAGAGGAGGAGGGAGTGACTGTGTGTCCGTCAATGTTGAGGGAGATGTTTTGAGCAGAGGGAAGGAATGACTTGGGTCCGGTGATGAGGAGTTCGGTTTTATTGCTATTTAGTTTCAAGAAATTGTGGTCCATCCAGAATTTAATGTCAGAGATGCAGTGTGTGATGGTGGAGAGGATGACTGGGGAGATGGATTTGGTGGAGATGTAGACCTGGGTGTCGTCAGCGTAGCAGTGAAAGTGTAGTCCATGGTGACGGATGATGTGGCCAAGGGGAAGCATGTACATGATGAAGAGGAGGGGGCCCAGTACCGAACCTTGGGGAACACCAGTGGAGACACGGAAGGTTTGGGATGTGCAGTTGTTAATGGAAACATAATGATGACGGTCGGAGAGGTATGAAGAAAACCAGGATAGAACAGTGTTGGAGATGCCAATAGATTGAAGACGGTGGAGGAGGATAGAGTGGTCGATGGTGTCAAATGCTGCGGAGAGGTCAAGGAGGAGGAGGATGGAAAGGGAACCGGAGTCAGCTGCAAGGAGAAGATCGTTGGATACTTTTAGGAGGGCTGTTTCAGTGCTGTGATGGGGACGGAAACCGGATTGGAAAATTTCAAAGAGCGAGAAGGTGTGGAGGTATTGCTGAACTTGGGTTATGACGGCACGTTCTAGGATTTTTGATAGGAGGGGGAGATTTGAGATGGGGCGGAAGTTGTCCAGGTTTTCGGAGTCTAGGTTGGGTTTTTTGAGGAGTGGCTTGATGGTGGCGATTTGGAGATTTGGAGGGACAGTACCGGTGGTGAGGGAGGAGTTTATGATGTTTGTGATGAGTGGAGTCAGAGAGGGGATGCAGGCTTTCAGGAGAGTGGATGGAGTGGGGTCAAGGTGGCAGGTGCTGAGTTTCATGTTAGAGAGGAGCTTGGCGGTGTCGGTTGTTGAGAGCAGGGAGAAGGAGGAAAGGCTGTGATTTCTGGATAGGTCGACAGGGAAATGGGTTTCAAAGGAGAGATGGTGAGAGGAAGAGCTCTGCAGGGTATTGTGTATTGTATGGATCTTAGAATGGAAGAATGAGAGGTAATTGTTGCATTTGTCTGTTGTAAATGTGGAGGTGATATTGTCAATGGGCTTGGTGAGACGGGCGAAAGTGGAAAACAGAGTGCGTGAGTTAGAGGAATTGGAGCGAATCAGCTGAGAGAAATAATCAGAACGGGCGGATTTGAGAGCGGTGTTGTAGGTGTTGGTGAAGTATTTGTAGGCTTCGGCATGAACAGTAAGACCAGTCTTGGCGTGGAGTCTTTCAAGCTGTCTGCGTTTCTTCTTGAGGTTGTGAAGGTCTGGGGTGTACCAAGGAGCAGAGGTGGAAAAGGAGACTGTGGCAGTTTTGAGGGGAGCGAACTGGTTCAGGCAGGAGGAGAGGATCTGATTATGATGGTCGACGAGTTCTGAGGTGGATGAGTCAGGACGGGGGTGAGGGGAAGAGGATAAAGTAGTAGTTACGGAGGAGGCAAATGTAGTGGGGCTGAGGGACTTTAGATTGCGGTATGTTATTTTGCGTGTTTGTTTGGGAGTTTGACTGGGTATGGCAATATCGACGGTGACGGCTAGGTGGTCGGAGAGGGTGAGGTCTGTGAGAGTGATATTATCGATTGATAATGAGGCAGAGGAGCAGATGAGATCGAGAATATGACCATGAGAGTGAGTGGGAGAGTTTACATACTGGGTGAGGTTTAGGCAGTTTAAAATGTCCAGAAAATCGGCTGTGAATTTGGAGTGTGGATTATCAACATGGATGTTGAAATCTCCAAGGAGGAGAACAGAGGGAGAGATGGAGGAGAGCTGTGTGTAGAAGTCTGTAAAGTCTGAAAGGAAGGAAGTACAGGTTTTGGGGGGGCGGTATATAATGCCAACAATGGGAGATTGTGAACCGGAGAGTCTGAAGACCAGGTGTTCGAATGAGGTAGTGGCAGGGATGGAGATAGGGCGAAGATTGAGGTTGTGCTGGTAGATGACTGCGATGCCTCCTCCCCGACGTTCAGGGCGGGGGTTGTCGAGGTACGAGTATCCAGGTGGTGTGGTCTGATTTAGGGCCAGGTAGTCCATGGGCTTATGCAGGGTTTCGGTTAGACAGAAGAAATCCAGTTTATTGTCAGTTATAAATTCGTTTAGAATTAGGCTTTTATTATTTAGTGAGCGTGTGTTGAAGAGGGCCGCCTTGAGTGTTTTTTGTTGTGAAGTTGTTGTACAAGTTGGAATTGAGCGGAGGGTGAAAGGAGTCACGTGACTGGTGCGCAGATGACGCACACGGAAGTTCCCAAGATGGCGCGTGTTGTGATCAGTCCAGAGAGAGGGGATGCCGGTTTCGGTGGAGGAATGAAGGATGTATTTGCAACGGGAGCTTCTGTGAATGTAAGGACGACGTCGGAGAAGGCAGTGCTGCTTTATCGTGCTGATCAAGTCCAGTGTTGGAGGAGCGCGGTGGTTAAAACTGAGGAGCTGCGAGGATGTGTACCGGAGAGCCATGGTCGGAGATGTGGAGACAGTTGAGGGTGATGACAGCCCGTGCCAGGTCAGCAGAAAGGCCAGTAACAGAGGCCACATTGCCGAAAGCTCACTCCGAGATTCCAGAGGCCGGTGACCTAACTGCGTACCGCGGTTTGGGCGACTCGTAGCTGGTCTGGGCGCTCTGCACGGAGGCTTGATGGTGGTCACGGCAAACACCCCAGCGATGACAGGCAAAGACCGGGTACAATCCAGTTCGGAAAAACGGGAGCAGATAAGTTTGGCCAGTAAAAGTAGTAAGTACAAAGATTTTATTGTAGCTTTTTCCTTATTTTTCCTCCGGGTGGAGAAGCGGCAGCCAAAACGCGCCAGCGTCCTCTCACAACCCGGGTAGCTCCTCCAATATTGTCTCCTCCAGCTCTAGCAACCCTAGGGTGCTTTTTAACTCAATACAGTCTGTGATTAGTCCACCTGGCAGTGTGCTAAAGAATGTTTCTGAGTCTACATGTGATGGATTCCTGAAGCATTTTGTGGATAAAGTGGCATCAGTGAGGATGGGCATTGGCTGTAATGCTCACTCTGCTGTCGTTTATACTCCTCCACTGCCCCCTGCTGTTCTCGAAGAGTTTGAGCCTGTGACACTGACTCTCCTCTCTGAGGTGGTCCAGGGGATGAGACCCACAAGTTGTCCTCTGGATATTGTTCCATCTAAGGTTCTCAAACATGCTTTTGACACAGTGGGCCCATACCTCCTCGCTTTGTTCAATAGCTGCCTTAGCACTGGATCTGTTCCTGCAGTCTTCAAGCATGCTGTGGTTAGGCCACTGTTAAAAAAACCTAATCTAGATCCTGCTGTTCTGTCAAATTTTCGACCTGTCTCTCACCTGCCATTTTTGTCTAAGGTTTTAGAGAAGCTAATCTTTATTCAGTTGCAGACCTTTTTGGAAAATAATTCTATTTTGGAGAAATTTCAATCAGGCTTCAGATCGCGTCACAGCACGGAGTCAGCTCTTCTTAAAGTGCACAACGACATTCTGCTGTCCTTGGATTCGAAGCAGCCAGTGCTTTTGATGATGCTGGACCTGACTGCGGCGTTTGACACCGTGGACCACTCAGTTCTCCTCTCCCGGCTGGCGGAGCATGTTGGTGTTCAGGGCACGGTCCTGCAGTGGTTCAGGTCCTACCTGACTGACCGGAGCTTTGTTGTGATGGTCGACGACTATTCCTCCTCCTCCACCCCGCTGTCATCTGGGGTGCCACAGGGTTCCATCCTTGGCCCGGTCCTGTTCTCACTTTACATGCTGCCGCTCGGGTCCATCATTGCCAGACATAATTTATCATTCCATCTTTATGCTGACGATGTCCAGGTTTATTTACCAGTGCTCCCTAACACTGCCACTGCCCTTGACTCCCTCCACCACTGCCTTTCGGACATTAAACAATGGCTCACGCAGAATTTCCTCCACCTTAATGAAACAAAATCCGAATTCATTATTTTTGGCTCCGGGGATGTTCCTCAGTTTCAGTCCAGGGTCGTGGGTCCAGTCCGTGATGCCGTCAGGAACCTGGGAGTTGTTTTTGACCGGGAACTGAACTTTAAACAACAAATACATGCTGTTGTCAAAGCCAGCTTTTTCCAGCTGCGCCTTTTGACCAAGGTGAAGCCCTTTCTCTCACGCCAAGACCTCGAGAAGGCAACGCACGCATTTATCAGTTCTCGGTTGGACTATTGCAACGCTCTCTACTCTGGCCTCCCACAGTCGTCACTCAACCGGTTACAGTTGGTGCAGAATGCAGCAGCCCGTCTTCTCACCGGTTCATCTAGATACAGCCACATCACTCCTGTCCTCTCCTCCCTGCACTGGCTCCCGGTCCGTTTTCGGATTGATTTTAAAATGTTAATGCTTGTTTTTAAAGCTCTTCATGGTCTCGCTCCGTTATATTTAACTGAGTTGTTGACCGTACATCGCCCCAGCAGAGCTCTCCGGTCCGCCAATCAAATGGTTCTGGATGTGCCCAGGTCCCACTACAAACAGTGGGGCGAACGTTCCTTCAGGGTTGCAGCGCCTAAACTGTGGAACAGCTTGCCACTCAGTCTGCGTGTTCTCACGGACCTGTCCCTTTTTAGGTCCAGATTAAAGACTCATCTTTTTAAACTTGCTTTTAATACTTAGGGCACACTGAATTGTGTCTTGGTTGTTTTCATTTTGTGTTTTAAATTGTTTTAATCTCTCTGTGAAGCACTTTGGTCCTCCTGGTGTTGTTGTAAAGTGCTATACAAATAAACTTTGATTGATTGATTGATTGATAGTTACTTTTATAGTGGAGTAACTCCGTTAGTAACTCAGTTACTTTTTGGGAGAAGTAACTAGTAACTCAATCAAAACATTTTGTTGTATATTGAGACATATTATTACTTTGTTCTGTGTGTAAATCCTTGTGGTTCAGGTTTTATTGTGGGCAAGAATGTCTTAACAAGATAAGTGCCATGGCAACACCCTTCCCCCAACGACTCTACCAGATGTGAAGACTTACAAGGACCCACAGGGAAGACAAAACTAGTCTGCTTTGGAACCACAGAGTGACCAGACCTCCCTGGGCTCTGCCCTGGGCTCTGCCCTGGGCTCTGCTCAGGCAACCAAGGGGCTTTGGGCCTCTTAGATGGCCTCAAACCTCAGCTCCACGTTTGAGAGGACTTCCACAACCCTTCAATAGCCTCCAGCTTCAACCTGAAGAAGTTGCTGAGTTTTGGCACCTAGACTGTGGATCGTGGGAGGACTTGGTTCAGCCACATGATACAGCCGCATGGTCCAGGCCCCGTGGACAAGAAGCCTCCATCCAACACCATCAAGACCCAAGGACTGCTATTCACCAAAGGCTATTCTGGTTGTATGATCTGCTCTCTTGCTACACACAGTTGTTGGCTTTATTAAAACCTACACTTCAAAGAATACTTCTCCTACCAAGGCTGAACACATGCAGGCCTCAGCCTATACCAATCCATTCATAGACAAAGGTCTTGCTTAGCTCACTTTAGCCTAGCATTTTAACAATGTATCTTGAAATCAACGTTTCCTTCATGTTATTCTTGACAATTTGCATATTTCATATCTAGTCTGTATTGTGTATACTTCATTAAATCTACAAAACCATCTTTGTCTGGAAGTGATATTTGTACTTTTAACTCCAGAAATTGGGTCACTGATTTGTAAAAGAATTCACTACCTTCAGATTCTATTGAAGAGAATTGGACTAATTAGCTAATTAAATAATGAAAGGACTCATGAGATTACTTAATCAATAAATGAGCCAATTAATTGATATTGTGACGTCATATGCACGTTATCAGTTGGGAGTTATTCCCTGGTGCCCCTAAATAAAGTTATTATAAATTATTGTATTTATTACATGGTTGTTTTTATCCAATTCTCCGATATCAGGTACATAACTTAAGTTATGTGTGATATCGACATTTTCTCACCCTACATATTATGGTGCCCTGTGTGAGGACAAAACAAACTTAATTTCTGGAAATTAAATCATACAAATTCAATGTGACAAACTTGTTGTAAGCTGTTGTTGCAAAGAAAACTGAGGTACTTCACCGGAGCAATCCAATCTAAACTCACAGTATCTATTCTTGTATAGCATAAACATGCATACAACTCCAACGCATCACCAGCGCACTAAAGTTAAAACTTAAAAGTTAAATGCTGCGATTCTCCAAATTCAAATGACTTTCAAATCAAAGATGGCTCTTCCTCTTGCTGCAGAATGTCACACCCCTGTGTCAAGAGCCAAAAGCATCTGGCCAATCAGAGCACTTCATCTGCAGGCTGTGAGAGGGTGAAGGGGGGTCCACGGCCCCTCCCCACAGACACTCATCAGATGTCCCTCACACAGCACCTCCTGGGAGGTCAAGAAGGGTTAGAGATGACAGCAGAGTTTACGGAGTCATTAATGGCTTTGTGCTCGAACAACATCTCCAAAAACCACACCTGCAAATTCACGCGCTATTCCTTTACTTAGTTCAAGACGTAATGGTTGCGAGTGATTTCCAGCGTGTAAAGCTTAAAACCAAGAGGCATTGAGTGTAAATGAACATGACCACCTGCGACTTTCCAGGGGCGTTCAATACACCGCCTGATCTCAAAGCTATGACTAAACGCGACGTTCCGTTAGCCATTAGCAAAAGATCCTGAAGTGGGACTAGCCATCCACACAGGCATGTTTTACGTAAATCGCTGCGAGTACGCCCCAGCGTGTAAACCCTCGATCAAAGGGGTCTCGGTGTAAATGTAAGTGGCAACCTGCGATGTCCAGGGCCCGATCAACACCCCCCACGATCTTTAAGCTAGGTCTAACGCGACTCTCCGTTAACCTTTAGCAAAAGACCTGTATGTGAGATTAGCTACCCACACAAGCACGGTTAAGAAAAAATCGCTGCAAGTAAGTCCAGCATGTAAATCGTCAAACCAAGTTGTAAAACGAGCCACCACTGGTTAATAATTTCCAGTGGCGCGTATTTGCTTATACTTTCGCTCTACCAAAAGAGTAAACAGAAGAATATCTGAGATTCAAAGTCACTTTTCTAGGAAAATCTATGCTCAAATACGAGTCATTATTGCGGCAAAATCAAGCCAGTAAGACTTGGCTCCACGTTGAATTGTCTCAGTGAAAGTATCCTCCCTCAACAACACTCCAAATTGTTTGAAGATTAAATTTTATACATTCTCTATTGTCAATTATAACAGCATATAGCTACAGATATTAGCTTCCAGCTACTAGCCTAGCATTAGCTAATACAAGCATCTTTACCTCCAGCTATTACCATAGCCTTAGCTATCTCCATCAAAGAATGGAAAAGCTCAGACAAATACTCTTACCAGTTAATCTGAATAAAACCACTCCAGTGAACTCTAGATAGAGCATACACACAGACTTAGCTATAAAACTCCTGGCATTGTCTCAAACACAGTTAGGACAAACTAAAAGCCAACTCTGTGACATGAGCAATAGAGCTCTATTACAGCAGAACTTCGCCTCCGCCCTCTACTGAGAACTCCGCCTCCTACTGAGAGCTCTGCTTCCTGCTGAGAACTCGGCCTCCTACTGAGAGCTCTGCTTCCTACTGAG